TAGACTCTCTGGAGCCAAAGGTTCAAAATCTGACAGACAGAACTCAGCTTTTAATCTTTTCTCTGGTACATAAATGTGATGAAGACCATATTTCCTCTGGTGCTCATCTCCCCTCCTATCCTAACAAGAGGACAAGAAATGGCTTTGAAAGATGTATGCACTTTCTTCCTTTAATATTGTCCTTTAGGGCTAATCAAGAGAGGTTCATGTCCTGTACCCAAGTTTTAGGTAACTCTGCTCTGGCCCCCATCTAGTTATATCTGAATCCACAGAGTAAGGAGTTTATGGGGCCAAGGGAACATCCTCACCTAATTCCTGTTCCCTCAACCACTTTCAAGGCCACACTCCATGTATCAGACCTCAGAACTTCCTGATATTATAGCCCTGAGACCACTCCTAGGCCCTGTATGGCCCTTTCTCTCAGGTCATTCACCTGAAAAAAAAAGGCAGACTACCAGAGTGTGCAACTCTGGCCTGAGAGCAGTGGTTTATGGGAAAGTACATGGAGCTTGGATATGCAGGCTGGGGGTGAGCTTGGCTCCTTTCCAGGTGTAGGACAGAGTGAAGGGTGGGAAGAAAAGGAACGCAGGGTATGCAGTGGGACCACCTTTCCCTGCACTGACACACTTAGCCTGGAAATCCAAGGAATCTAGGAATTCTGGACTTTCAGCTCTTCATGTAGAATAGAATATATTTTATTTAATGTCTATTAATTTAATATGAAACTTTACATATTTAGACACATAGTATATAAGGTTCCATTGGTACTCTTGCTCCTGGCCTTAGTTTCATGCATCCCTCAAAGAAACTGGAGATTATCCTCTGCTTAGAATTTTCAAGGTATTCTATGTCAAATTTCAAATGAAAGAACTGTCTGAAGTTTTGGGAAAGCAACCAATCAACATAAGATTATAAATATTTATCTAAAAACCTTTATAAAATGCATTTGTCATTTTGTTCTCAGTTATTTTCGATTTTTAAAATTCATTATGTTAAATACATTTATTTTATGAAATAGGACTGCAAAAGCCTATACATTTGAAAAGTCTGTAAAAGTTTTTCAGAAAAATTAGGCATTTTCCTCACTATCCTTAGAGTTTAATTCTCAAAGAAAAAAAAATTGAAAATACTATGGCTAATGTCACAATGTCTGATACATTCCTCAACAGCTGACTCAAAACATTATTGTCTGTCAGACATCAGTAAGTATACTCAATAAATATCTACTATCACCTACTCTGTGTCAGATTTTGGGCAATCAAAGAGGGATAAAACCAGTAGATGAGATGGAACTCAATATTAACTGGAGGAGGCTGACAAGTAAATAAGCAGTGACCATGTTTGATAGATGTTACAAAATTATTACCAAAACACAGGAGGCACATCAAGCCCCATCTTGGAATGCAGGAAGGTTTCCCAAAGAGATGTCAGCCAAGCTGAGTGCTGAAATTAGCTGAGTAGTTTATGCGGGAAAGAAGGCAATTAAACATGTCTAATTGGAAGACTTCTAAATTTCATCAGTGATATACAAAAAAAGAGACAGAGGGGAACTAATATTTTTTTTTTGACTGCCAGGCACTGTGAAAGTGCTTTGCATGTATTAAATAACTGACCTTCAGAGTCACAGGGACAAAAAAGGTTTTATTCAGCCCATTTTATTGAGGAGAAAATAAAGGAAGTTGCTCCCGGTCATGGGACCAGACAGTGGTAGACTCTGAATTCAAACCCAATATTCCACCCATTACTTTAAGGATCAGTAAATTGAAAAACCAAATTTTGCCCCATTTGTTCCGGCCAAGAAGCTTAGATTTCCTTTGGGAGAAGCAGAGAGGTATATTAACAAAGTGCACTTTGGTTTTAAAGACATGTCTCTAATGAGAGCATGCCAGAATGTGACTGGAATGGCAGATAGAGGTGCTGAAACTTGCAGTCGCAATTTCCATGTTCTTGATCAGTGGTTGTTGGTCACTGTTCATGTGCTTTATAGCAAATGGCTCTTTCTCTGTCATTTAAGATCACTCAATATTTTCATTCAAACTGACCCACTTTATCTCTAACCGCCAAAAGTAAGGCCAAGGTGTCCTCTTTGCCTCTTTGAAAGGCCACATGTTAGAGCCCATGTGACCTTGGACTGGTAGAACTGGTTTCTTTCTTCACTGGTCATGATCTCAGTGTAAAAGTATACTTAGAAATAGAGGCCAAATTGTCAAAGAATTGTCACCTTCTGATTAGAGAAATAGGATGAGAAGACTTTTTATGTGTTGATTTCATAAAGAAATGTATTTCTGGTAGCCTTACACAATTTGGAGGTATATTTATGGTCCAAATGCTTCTCAGATACATTCTTTATCTCCTTTAACTCTGTGGAAGTAGAGACTACAGAGTTCTGAGGAGTTGTTTAACCAAGGTTCATACCTGGGACTTGGGATGAGGATGTGCTTATAGGAAAGGCTACTTACATTCTTTACTCAACAGCTCTGATTTTGGGGAAGATGACTGCATTACAAAATTTAAATATTTTCAAGGCTAGTTAAGCTGAGTAAGGATATCAATTTACCATTAAAGAAAACTTACAGAAATGTTAACCTAAAAATTGATGGCTCTGTAGTTATTTGTGTGGGAGACAGACTTATACAACAGCATTAGTCTATAAATAGTAATTGGATACTCTTATTATAAAATCTAATATTTAATAGTAATTGAACATTCTTACTATAAAATATAATCTTTAATCTGAAAATAGTGTGACAATTAGGTAACATTAGTTTTTATACAAACTAGAGGTTTACCACATGAATAAAGCAAAGAGCCCAGTTTCTAACCAACAACCTCCTGGAAAGGCTACCTAGAGGTGGGAGAGAATTTCTTCCAACTCTGAAGAACTTCAGAAGCTGCTAAAGTTATATGCTGAAGAAATTTAGCAATTGCTAAAGTGTATGAGTTGTGTGGAGGCAAAATATGAGAAGAGGAAGATCCCATACATTCACAAGTGGGGTGAGTTCTCTTTCTGTCAAAATACTCCATTACCAATAAGCTTGTATCATTATTACATATCACAAATTTTATATACAAGTAAAAGTTCCATTTTAAACTTGGGCACTAAATGTTCCTTTTTGAAGTTGCGTTTCTTGGCCTCTCTGCAGACATTTGGTAACATCAGTGACTTTTTTGACATTTACTCCTTAAATGATCTCGACCCTTTAAAACCAAGGCTGGCATTCCCTTATCACACATCATGCCATAAACGAATTATGCTCACTTAGCCAGTATATATTCAAATAATGTGCTTAGGGAATGTAAACCAACAGCAGTCTAAGTAAAACATCACCAGAAGGGAAAAAGTAGAATGCAACAAAGTAATATAAAATCGAAAGAGAAATGTATTAAATTATCTAACACACAGACATCCTCCAGGCACGTCAATAATCCCTAAACTTGTCATCCAGTGACTAGATTATTTAATCAGCCTCTAAATGGTGAATGTTAAGTACACAGTAGGTACTCAATAAATAGTTGAGTTGTTTTAGAATAAAGATAATTATGTGGAATTTTTAAGTAAGCTCTCGTATTTGGGATTCAATTTGTAACTGTTCCTCAGAAAAGATACGGCCAGTACCAAAGCTGGGAAAATAGTCTACCTGCCTACTGACTGAGTTTATCAGTTTGTTTTAATCCTTTAGCAACCTAAACTTATGCAATTTGATTTTCTTGTCATTTCTTTCCCTATACTACCAAAACTGATGCTTTCTTTACTATTTCAAACTCATCATGAAATTGCTAAACATCTAAAATTCAATTTGCCACATTACTGCTAATTTGAATAATGGCTAAATAAAACACAGGAAACGCTGAAACAGCATTGATTTCTAAAACATTTTGCACTTTCCTCCTCCATCCCTGTAAAGTAAAGCTCGGATGCCACGCACAATTACACAAGAAAATCAAGAAAGCCATTACATTCAGCATTTTGTCATGATCATTGTTACCATGGCAAAAAGTGGTTTTAGTTTAGCACAGCTGACACAGGCAAGGTCCACTGGCCTTTTGTAAAGCTGAGTAACAATATAATGCCAGATTCTATAGCTGGTCACCGTTTTTACCCTAGGACAAGACTATTACCCACAGACACTACTGTCTCATTCCTTAAGGATCTGAGCCAATGTCATTTTATTATTGTATTCTTACTGTTGGGCAGCAGTCAAGGAACACAGATAATCTAGGAAGTTTACCACCTGACACACTTCCTGTTCCAACGGGGAAAAACAACATGTTGTGTGAACACTTGGGACGCAATAATAGAAAAAGCCAAAGTTTCGATGGTTGCATTGTAAATGACAATAGGGTGGTGTTGGAAATCGCACAGATTTGGGAGTGAGAGAGAAACGCAGACCCACGATAACTAGCTCTACGGCATAAGCTTGGTTATCTGTAGAATTCGGATAAAAGTAACCTCCCAGGCATGTGTAATCAATAAAATCAGGCCCTCCCACCCCTCTCTTAATGCTGAGATTTCCATGTCTTCCCGAACATTCAGACAAGTTGGTAGGTAAACTATTCTCTGTTGTTGGAAGCTTTATTATTTCCATCTTTCACATCATTTGGATACTTTCCTCAGAGAGCTGAGGATAAGTTATTTTAAGGTCTGACAGTAAGCATAAATTTCATATCAAAAGGATAAAAGTTCAGTGTCAATACTGTAATATACTACACATCTTATTATCCATATTTTAAGTGACACCAATATTATCATTGTAAAATGAATGAAAAATGGAATATATACTAATTTCGACCTTATGCAGAGATTTTTAGTTTTAATAAAATGAAACAACACTATGAAAGCGGAGAAGTTTAAATGATCTGAAATGAATACATTAATCAAAACTCTGTATTTACTACAAACAAAGACTACTAGCATATTTACCAGCTAAACAAAATATTTTTTTCTAATGAGATTTTAGCTGAGTATCGTTTATCTTAAGAGAAAAATAATGGGTCCTTACCTATTCCAGTAGCTCCAGAACTGGTCATGCAGGTAGGCGTGGTGGCTACATTCATCACCAAATGAGGCTTTGCTTTCAATCCAGTGAATTATGTGCCCTTCTACAGCTAAGGGACAAAGCATTACTAATATACGGAGAAGGGAAGGGAAGATTGAAAATTCTGAACTCTGCACAGGCTGCTCTATGCTTCACATTAATGAGCACAGGCTTAGCCCTTATCATCATCTATAAATGTAATTACAAAACACACTGTATATGTTCATTACAAAGAACATTTACGTGACAATCATATCCCTTTGATTTTCATTATATTCTTCAAAACTCCCTTTTCTAGTTTCTCAGACTGCCTGTATAACTCGACAAGTGACAAGTCAAGCAGACCAAAATGAGTCTGGCTTTTCAACAGACCTATGTTTAAGGAATTTGAAATTTAGAGAAATGCGTTGAAAATAACAACCAAAATATCTTTAGAAAACATGTTTTCCCAATGTATGTAAAAGATTTTAAGACAGAATTCCTTTGCACCTATCATTTTCTGCCTTTTAAAAATATTTTCCAACTATTCACCCATTGACAGTATTATAAAGCTGATATTAACATAAAAAATTAAAACTTACACCCCTTTTCTCTAAAAACAAATGCATAACAGAGTTGAAGAACTTACCAACTGGTACTTGTAAAATAAAGTCTGGTGTTTTGTCATAACCCTTTGCACGAAGCTGATCTTCATCTACAAGAAGAACAAAGGCAACATACTTAAAACACTATTCAATTAACAAGACAGGAATATATTTGTTTTCATTTCTTAAATATGTATAAAAATTACTACCGCAGTCATACATATTTTTCTTATGCATGCAGTGCTCTGTCAGAATAAATGAACCTCCTTAACAACCCTGAAGAGTAAATATGCTTCAGATATGCGTCTTTCGTTATTTTTTCTGCATTTTTGTTATTACAAACATCACTAATTCAAGGTGTCATACACTACCTTTTTTGTAACTGAAAATACTCCAGGTAAAGTAATATGCTTACTGATTTTTTTCTAAAGGCTTTCATCACTGTGAAAATTACAAATGTTATGAGCCAATATTGACAATTTTATAGTAAAGGCACAAGCACAGTGGACTTTGCAATTATGGAACAATGTTTCAATAAAAAAATTAAGCAATAAACTATTCTTACACACCAGAAAGAGACAAGGACAATGAGATCACCATAAAGAATGAGTTATCCTGCTTAATTCCTTTGGTAGCTATTGTTTCTGGCATTTACCTGAGTTTTATAACAATATGTAATTCTGAAAAGCAAACAGGCTTTAAGATTTTTTTTTTCCTAAGTCTGTTTAATTTCTTGGTCCCCTGTAAATATCAATGATCTACTCAGAAGGAAAGAAGGCAGGAAAACAGAAAGCTGGACAAAGTCGGAAAAGACTAGCAAGGTGCTTGTTTAAAAAAAAAATCCTCCAATATTTTCTAAATGCTGTCCTTGACTTCTAATGGCATTACAATGTGATTTCTGAAATGGGAAGTTCTCCATTAGATTTTGGAGTGACCTGGTCATTCAATTCCAGACATGGCTTTCTGTCTTCACCCAACCTCAACTAATGGCACAACCAAGTAACAAGGAAGGCTGTGTGGTCTCTTAACACCTACTGGGCTGTTGACATTGTCATGCATCCCATTCGCCTTCCTGCATCACCTTTGATTAAAATTAATGGCCCATTCCCAGTGTTGGGTAGCTTATTTCCAATCCATTTGTCAGCCCAAGACAGTGGTTTCATGGCCAATGTTCAGAAACTCTGTTTTAGAACACTGTTGTACACATCTTGAAAGGTCAGCATTTTAAATGTAAATAGCCTTTTAATGACAAGACACATATTTAAAGTAGACATTTAAGTTAAATCTTGTTAAAAGTCAATATCCTTAAACTGTCTAGATTTTGAAGGACTGGTGCCACTATTCAAACCAATCTCCCCTTCTTAAAATATAAGAAATCTCAAGTTAACTATCGAGATAACTAAATACAAATTAAAATAATATGACTTTAAAAACAAGAGAATTTGGAAAGTGGGCTGTAGATGAACAAGACTGGACAAGTTTCTGTCCTCTAACTGTATTCTGACCACAATGAGAATATTTAATAGAAAAGGCATTTATTAAAAAAATCAACTCCAGTGCCTTGAGCTGATGTTTCAGGTAGCTGATGAACAGTTTTAAAAGCTATGGTGACATTAAAAAAGATAGATTAATATTTCATTAAAACTATCCTAGCTTCATCAACCTTTGCAGATGTTAAAATCTGTTTCAGAAAGAAAAATGATTAGGTTTCTGATAACAGTACAAAACAAAATTTGAAAGGTCACCAAGCAATCCAAATGTACTCATTAAAATCCCTTTAAAAGACAGATGCTGCACTCTTGTTCACTGCACCAAAATTACCAGCATCATGTCTGTGATTTAAACTACATGACTGACTTAATATGAAGATTAAAAATCCCAAACCCCAAAATCTGAACATAAAACACAAAGTGTGGCTGGGGAACCTTCGCATCCTTTTGTGGTAAACTTCAACAAACTACAACTGGCTCACTCTCTGTTTTTCTCTCTCCCACATACACACACCCCTGTCTTTTCCTTCCCTCTCACTTCTTTCTCTCTCAACGTGAAGCTGATTCAATAATAACTGTACCCAAAGGATAGCATCTGGTAGTCTGTGTCACCAGTGGTGATATTAGACTTCTATTTTTTATAATAAAGTGGTTATCCCAAACATCTGAAATACTATGTATTCGGCATCTTCTCCTTCCTTTAATTTATTTACTAAACTCTCATTGCACTATCTCCTGTTTCAACCGTTGGCTTGCTTCCTTCGTCCTGGATCTAAGAAAGAATGAGGTAACAACTTGGCAAAGTTAAGTAGAAATGATGGTACCAGGGTAGGAAGCAGCATTTAGGAGCAAGTGATGTTATTCACCTGTTCTAAGCCCCAGAACACTTAATGTCCCCAAAAGATAATTGAGTAAAATACACATGCATGTTTAACAGTATCCACACCTTTACAAAGCCTATCTGGATTGACAATAATTTTCTTTCTTAATTTAATTCCCTACATATCAACAAGGCCCAAAGGCACCAAATAGGCTCAAAGTTCAAGGTTTTATGGGATTAACTCTCATTGTTATCTTTCATCCTTGGTCCCAACTGTCCATTCTACATGTTCATCTCAGGTTCATCTCAATTGTAATTGTAAAAAAGATAACATCTCTTTCCTTAGTACTGATGTGAAAATTCTTCTTTGATGTCAAGTTTTTTTAAGATGAAGTCTCACTCTGTTGCCCAGGCTGGAGTGCAGTGGCACGATCTCAGCTCACTGCAACCTCCATCCCCTGGGTTCAAGCAATTCTTCTGCCTCAGCCTCCCAAGTAGCTGGGATTACAGGCGCATGCCACCATGCATGGCTAATTTTTGTATTTTTAGTAGAGACAGGGTTTCCCCAAGTTGGCCAAGCTGGTCTTGAACTTCTGACCTCAAATGATCTGCCTGCCTTGGCCTCCCAAATTGCTGAAATTACAAGCATGAGCCACCACGCCTGGCCTCAAGTATTTTAAATAACACTGGAACTATCCACTCCTTAACATTTAGTACAATTCCCCCACAAAACGCAATCTGTGCCTGGTCCCATTGTTGGGCAACTCTTTTTTCTTTGGCTACTGATCTGTTGATATGTATTATTTATCTCTTTTATAGTCCGTTTTACAATTTATGTTTTCCTTATAATACTTTGCATATATTTGAGCCAAGTAGTTACTTATGATTCTTTGAATTTTCTAAGTGGAAACTAGATGTTTAAGTAACGTACACTGTTTCTTCAACAGTGATATAAGCTGTTTTCTTCAAGAAAAAAATGATAAAGTTTAAAATCAAAACAATAATAATAATATTAATTACAATGAAAAAAAGGTAATGGCAATAATATGAAATAGTACTTTTAGTATGACTTCCCCAGATGGTTTGGAATCATTATGAAACCAATCTTCAAATCCTGCATGTGTGTCTTATTCAGTGAATATAGCAGATAAAAAGCAAGGGTCTTCTGGTTTAAGGTATACATTTAAAACCCCAATATATTTCATAACCATGAAGTTCATTAATGTCATAGCTCAAGTATTTGTTTTCAAAAATAATACAGGAATGTTAGCAATTAGAAGCAGACCTGTTAACCTTCAAATTCACAAAACACAGATTTTTAGGTAATGGGTACCTCAGAAACCTTTCTGAACTAGTAAAACTATAGAGATAACTAGTCCAACATTCCAATTTATACACAATATAACTGGCCTAGAGAAGTTAAATGGCCTATCAAGACCTAGACCTCTCAACTCGCTTCAGATACAGGATAAGTGCCATGTCAACCAAGTTCTAGTTGGTCCCAGCAGACCATATGCCATTCTTAATTATGCAAATATTTAAATATGATCGAATGTAATATTTATAAAGTGGGGAAAATTTTATTTTTCTCTTGGAAGATCTTGAAATACAGGACAGGTGGACTGTCACTTGTGAGACATTTAGATAACACCTGCCTGAAAAGGAGATGAACTAGACAGTATCTTGTCTGCTAGCACGTCAATGTTCCTCTCTCCAATTTATCTTAAATAAATCAATAAAACCACATCCAAAGATGATGTTAATTTTTAAAAACAATCCTGGTCTTCATTTATTTTGAAGTTGTTAGGACTGTCTTGAGGGGGCATTTTTAAAAAAGGAATTAAACAGGCATAAAGAACATTCTGAAAGTTTAATTTCTCTGGCCTTTGAATTACCCTCTTCTCCAAATACCCAAAATAGTCAAAGCAATTAAGTACTAACTACACAATTTCTTTTCTTAAAATAAAAGGCTGACTTTGAGTCAGCAAACAAAACACATCTGAAACTAGTTAACATATTCTTCAGAATCACAGGAGGGGGCATGAGGACTACCAAGAAAAGGTTTCAGGCCTTTGGGTTTGTTTTGTTTTATTAAAAGTTTTATATTTTAAAAGTATAGTCATTTCCACAAAAGTTATGCAGAACTCCAGTTCACAACATCTGAAGATAAAAAGTCACATTCTGACATGCATTTTATCTATGAATCTGTAAAAAGTTTTCTAAAATGCTAGATTAAAATACACTGTATGATAAGAATATTCTTAACACCTAGTGCATCTTTACTAAATTGGGGGAGGGCAAAAAAGACATGTATCAATACATGTTAAAGGCCATCCTTATTAAAACTATAGTGTATCTTTTCTACTCTAGTAACTAATTTTGTTTTACTGTGTTTTTTTCAAAATACTGTATCATTAAATATTTGGAGTTATGACCTTTGTTATCTGTATTTTTATTTTCTCTAAGAATAAGTTTCACAGCCTTTTCTATGCAATTTTAGAAGTTTGTAGAGTTTCAGTAATAGATCTTATATGCTATGCAAACCATCAAAGGTACACAGAACAGACATGCATTTAATGGGGAGACCAATAGCATAGATAAATGAAATCTTTAGAGAACTCAAAACTTCATTATAGCTGTTAGTTTCAACCTCTTTCCCCAAAGCCTCTTATCAAAGCCAATAATAAGGAATAGAACTGACTGCTCTTACCTTGCCCTTTGCTTATGTCTTTAGGGGTAATACTACTAGGGAAAACTGAAATGCCTTAAAGATAGGAAACAAATGAGAGGTCGAGAAGCT